GATGATGATGATGATGATGATGATGATGATGATGATGATGATGATGAATGCATTACTAGGGAACATGATGGAATATGTGACATTCGCGATTGCTCTATGTCCAACACATGATGACATGATACACCACCCCAACAAGATTCTCGAGCAAATTCCTATTTAGGCCTATGGACTCATGAAAGCCATGTCCCGGCAAACCAGCCGCACATGCAGGCGACTCATGTGTAGCTCAAGTAGGGAGACCCCCCAGGCGACTCAAGTAGGTCCGGTTCAGAACATCGACCAGTCTACCCCGCCAGGGCCAAACAGGTCCTCTGACAATCCACATAGGCTATAGGGCTCCACTTTAGGGGCACGGTTGGGAGGGGCTTAGTTCTGAAAGGACCCCATGTCCGAAAAGGGCTTTGACGCCAAGCTCTTCCGGCGCTTCTGCCGGATGAACTCGACACGACAGTGCAAAGACGACAGTGCAAGACGACGGCGCAAGACGGGGCCACCAGGGATGAGCCTCCATGAGCCTCTGCATATCATGCATGGAATCGCATTCCAAAAAATTCTTAACGTGTTCCACCGTTCATCAACGAGATCGACGGAGTGCGAGTCGAACATCCTAGTGTTTTTTCTGATACAAAGCAAGGGACGTAGAAGTGGTACGACAGAGTAAGCCCCAAAACAGCTTGCTGGCACCACATATAATATATATATATATATGTGCATGAAATTTGGTAGGTTGGAGGCCATCGCTATTGGGGTTGGAGGCCATCGGTAGTAGGTCTATCTCTCTTGCGTATGTTACTTATAATGTATATACATTTTATGCATGGAATTTGGTCTCCCCCAGCTCGGTGCCTACCACACCCCTGGGCTACAACCAATCCTCAATCTGCACAAGAAAGGTTCATCCTTTTTGGTTTCCTTGGGACCTCTCCAACCGCCAGGCACCTCAGACCTGGAAAATCTGATTTATTTGGGACCCCTCTTCTCGGCCATAGATTGATCCATATGCTCCTTGAAATAATCATGGAAGTATCTAAAGGACTATTTTCCGAATACCAAGCAGGTGGTGAACTCCACTTCCCTGTGAATGTCAAGACTCAGAGTAACTCTGATATCTTTCAGTTAGAGAAGCATCCCACAGTCAAGAGTTTCAAGTTTGCAGTTGTGCGAGGGTCGTACTTGGCATCGCAGGCCTTGCTTGTGGAAGGGTCAAGTAGGAGTCTTGAGCCCGAGCTGCAAGTGAAAGAAGGGCCGCAGGGCATGCCCCACAGGGCCGCAAACCCCATGTTTCTGCATTTCGCAACGTGCAGTCCAAGATGTTGTCTTGAATGCCGGCATCAGTTTTTGCACGCAGGTTTACACCCTAAGAACCCTTGGACCCGACTCCTTCACAGGGGTCCGGACCCTCAAAACCTTTTTCCATGTGAGGGCCCGGATTCTAAGGGCAAGCATATATGAATTTGACATTGCTCCCTTGGGGTGGCTTTGATGCATTGTACGTGCCAACAATGCCAGCAACTGTTCTTTGGCAGTCATGTTCGTGATACCATCCACACCCAATTGCCTTCATTCCCAACAAGGACTCCAGACTCCGTAGCTCATCTGCAGATGTAGGTGCCAGAAAAGTTCTTCTCTTGGATGTGCTTGACATTGAGGAACTGGGAAAAATAGAACATATGCTGAATTCCCTAGAAGGGGATTTACTCATAGAGAAAATAAAGATCACCCAAAGCAAAGCCAGATTTTTCAAACAACCCCCTCGGACACTCAGCCTTTGCTATTTGTCTCCTGATCTTCACTTGGCCCGTCCAATCACAAACGGTCTGCCAAAAGACTGCGGATTGGCTTTCGATGTAAAAATGATCAGAATCTCTGGAGTCTAGGGATCCACATACCCTCGAGAAGGTGCTTGGGGATGTTACAACAACTGTAACTGTCTTTTTATGTCTATATATATATGTTTTCTTTATTTTTAAATTGTGTATATTTATTTGTATCCCTCCCAAGAAGAACGTTTGTTCGTGGTTCTCGTGCCCCCCTGGGGTCACCTGCTCCCAACCCCGATCCATTTTCTCCAGCGGTGGGTGAAACTGCACCGATCCGGCCGCAGCTCGCCAGTTCGGTCAAGAGCCTCGTGGGCGGCGCGTTCAAGGCGGTTGAAAGCGTTGAATCAGAGGGAGGGAGGTCTGAGAAACGGTAAATAGCCATAATAAGCTATATCCCCCATGAGGGAATTTGTGGACAAACAAATCCCATGGACGGGCCAAAGCTCCATATATAGAAGCACTTGAGATTGGTTTCGGGGAAGCTTCTTGGAGTTTCTTGTCGCCCAAAGTCACCCATTTCTTTAGGCTCAATGAAAGTCCAGGAGTGGACATCTCCGGATCCGCATCGGTCGAGCGACTGGGTCCCAAGCTTCCAAATCGGTCTTTCGTGACTGAGCTTCCATGGGACACCCGGGATCCTAAACGGGACGACCCACCAAGCAATGGCTGCAAGTCGCTGGCAGGAGACCAACCGCTTCACCTGGCTCTGCTGACCGGTCGGTCCGTGGCATGCCAGCAGCGGACCAGGAGACCCTGACTAGACCGGGTCACGACCCATCCAAATCGGTCGGTGGAAAGAAGCGTCCAGGACTCCCACGCTATGTTGGGGTGCCGATCAGTTGGGGTGCTTTGCCGGATCACACTCGCTGAGATGGCGACGCGGAGTGAAGACCACCCGTCGTCGGATTCAACACGCTTCAACGGTCTTCGGGGGGTGTCTTCTGCCATCCACGTCACCCACGCCGTGACCCGAACGGAAGCGGACTCGACACGCCGGGAGCTGTGAAGCGCACTGACCTGGGTTTCAATGGGGCTGAACACCGGTCGGATAGGAGTTCCAGGTCCCTAGAAAGAGGTGACGACCCCGGAGAGAAGAGACACCAAAAAGAACAAATACACGACCGAAAGGGTCGTGTAAATCTTGGATTTGGAGGTCTTTGGTTGAGATATGCCAGATATGCTAGACCATAGACTTATTAGGCCAAATCAAAAATTAAAAACTGCAAGTCACATCTCTCACCGACCTTTTTCGGATGCGCTCAAGTCGTCTCACCATATTTCGCAGCCCAGCCACACCGGCCGCAAGTGGTCGCAAAAGGGCGGCTCCTCTCAAGCGATGCCAGGCAAATCGCTGGAAATGTCGAGGTAGGGCCGTCCAGTCAGGTACTTCGGAAGCTCCAATCGTCCCTTCGCACGGGTCGACCCTCTGTGCCGCGGAGAAACACGCCGTAGCAACCACAGGGTGATATGGTGGGTTCAAGCACACCACGGGAATCGCTCGCGAAAAACACGTTCCCTGAACAAAAAACATGGTGGAAGGGGATGGCATGGCCCCGATTTTGGAGGACCATGAAATCCGAAGACCAAACAGGTGGTGGTTTTCCACTTCCATGGCTTCAGGGAGTGTACATGATATGGAGAAAGAACACGATGGCACTATAGACCCAAGCGTCTTTCTCAATCACTGTCCAAAAAGCACCGGACATGTATGTGTGTATATATACTTTACCCTGCCCCAAAGATCTACCATTTTTGCCTGTCGCATGCCTGTTTGAGTGATATTTTCAGATATCAAATTAACCTTTTGAACAATTTCACTGATTTCAGAGAGCAAATTGAACGGCATAATTTTGACCATGTTGTGGTCTTTGACAAGGTGTTAGTTAAATCATTAATTGGTTCAAACAGTTTTGTTTCACCGGCGCCTATGATGATTCTATTGTCCTTGTGTTTTTCGGTCAAGTTTTAAAATCGAAAGATTTGCCATATAGATTTCATCAAAGAAAATGACATTAACATTGTTATGATCAAACTCTGGTAGTTCATCCCGCTTATGAACTGGATGTTTTTAAAAAATATATGAGGTTGTTGCGTCACCTTCTATTTCTTGATCCAACCGGTTATGAGGCACTACAAAAAATGTTTACGCACCTTTCAAAATACTGACCTATGTAACTCTTGCCCGATCCAGCAAATTTTGCTTTGATCCTTACATACTCCGGGGGTGTCCCATTCATCCACCACCTCTATGGGTGCATTTTCTAGTTTGGGAATTTCAATTAAGTCATTATCTCTAAATATGTACTTATTGGTTGGAAAACTGATGATTTGTTTGTCAGTCTCCACTTGCCTATGCCTCTTCAAAGTTCAATATTCCAGTCTGATATGATTTTATAAAATGGTTTGGTTTGCCCATCACTCTAATCAAATCGTCTTCATGGATCGTGAAGGCATCACTCTCCAGTGAATAGACCGTAATACAATTTTCTGAAATTAACTATGCTTCATACATTGAAAAATTATGATACTGAAGAAGCAGCTCTTTTATACCTCTAAGCCCATTGACTAATTCATTTCTATTGGTGGTGATTAAGATGTAATAGGTATTGCATGTTTGTGGTTTCTTCTTTTTCTTTTTCTTGCTGTATGGCACAAATCCTTCCTCCAAACTCCCTCTGGTAATGGCAAGCCTCCCTCAAAGTGTGAAACAGTAACTCTTCTGCGCGGTGTTGTGATGCGTCCTATTTTCTTTTTGTCATCTTTAGTAAGATCGGTTCCCCATAGTTCATGAACAATCTGGTCATAATTGACCTTATGAATGAACGAAGGAATCTTATAAAATAGTTTTCTTTGCTTGCTTCCAATAGTTTTCTTAAACACTTTTTGTCAAAGACTCGTTCACCTTCGCTGCTTTCTTCACAATCTCTTTCTCCGAGTGCTTGACGTTCTTCGTGGGGAGTTTACATAGACATCGGTCTTTACCCCATTTATGGCAATCCGGGCATTGCTTGCGGACCTTCGCGTGCAGAAAAAAAGAAAAACTATGAGCTTGGAAAAAATGCGGTGATATTAGTAAGTCGAACTTAGAGCCAAGTCCAAAGCAAACCAAAAACACCAAAAAAAAGTATAAAACTCTGAGGAGAATAATTGGTTTCAGTGGAACTGCCCCTCAAAGCCTTCTCGCGTCACACCACGCTGCTGGACAACGTGCCCCCAAGGCTCCTCACAGCAGTCTTGCGGAACTCCCAGACAGCCCCCATATAGGCGAAGAGGAGAAGTGTATCAAACCCTGTCTCCTTGGTCCATTGTACATCACCGAGCGCTTCGCCTTCTCAAAGCAGGCTCGGCTGCGCGCAGCCCAGCCCACAGTGGTCCAGCAGTCTGGCTCAGAATGTGGGTTGGCCATGGCAATGGCAGGAAAGCGAACAAACGATCTAAAAGCGCGACGAAAACCTTGGAACGTAGACCTTGGACCTGCAAGTTGCAATCAAGCATGCCTTGGACCTTGGACCTTGGACCTGCAAGGTGCGATCAAGCGTGAGCTCGACAAGGCCGAGGCTTCGATTCGATTCCTCAAGACTGCACTGCAGCAGCGCGATGATTGCAACTTTGAACCGAGACTCTTCCGAAACTCCTCAACACTCAGCACGCCTCCTGTAAACGCGAAGCCCATGGAGCTTACACTGCGCGCCTACAGCATGGCACATGCTTGCAACAGGGTTTCCAAACTGAATCCATTGCAAACACACAGGCCCTTCTCAGCCCAACGGTAACCAGTACCAAACCGGATTGCAAGACACTCTCCTGATTCCTGGCCATGAGCTTCCTGCCCGCCGTCCCTGACGCTTCTGCTACATCTTCTCGCATCACCGGGGCGACGTCGCCAATCCAGTTACATTTTGCGATTGAGCCGAGCACTAGTAGCAAGTGAGTTCGCACGAGCTTCAACAATCATTCAAACAGGCTATATGGAAGACAAGAAGCTTCGGGAATCACTGTAGCAGAAATTCCTTTTTGATGCCAATCACCCCGCGACCTGTGTGAAAAGAGGCCACACACTCTGTGACCTGTAGTAATGATGCTGATGATAATGCTAATAGTACTGGGCATGCCAACGGTAATGCAAATGCTGATGCTAAAGCTAATGGGCCATAGTACTGGTAATGGCCATTCACCCTCGACCTGTGGCAATGGTGATGGTAACGCCATTCACCCTGTGAGCTGTGGGAGCTTCATGCCATTCACCCTGTGACCTGTGGGAGCTTGATGCCCTACAGAGAGTACCTCCCAAGAACCAGTGAACTAGGAAGACTATTACTCACGAGCAGACAACGAGCGCGTACCAACAACTACGACGTCTCGTCCTCAACGTCTGAACACCTTCAACATGCAAAGTCTTAAAACAAGCGGTTTCGAGAACACAGGAAAACTCACACTCGTATAACGTCCTTTTCTAATGGAAATTGGGGTCAACCCTCTTCAGCAGTTCTTTGCTGAGTTTCCCGTTGCTGCTGATCGTCTCTGAGACATGTGGTGCTTCCTGATCTAAGATGCGGCACACAAAGTTGGTATGAGACTCGCTCAAACTCGAAACTTTGATCTGCGAGACGTCTATTTTTTTGAAAGCGCAAGCACAAACAAAAAAGTGTATGTCACTTGTCACAGCTGCCATGCCTGGACTGTCTGGCAGTCTAACAGCATCTCCTTGAAAAGAATCGAACAAAGGCGCTCGATGCGCTTCCGGGTTGACAGGGGCCAGTCCTGAGTTGACTTGCAATTCTGCGTCGGAGACCTCAACACCCACAGCGTTCACCCTTGACCTGTGGCAATGTGGATCACAATGGCAACGCCAATGCCTGTGGCAATGGAGATGCAAATGGTGATGGCAATGCAAATGGCAATGGTGGCGATGATGCCATTCACCCGGTGAGCTGCGGGACCTTGATGCCAATCACCCTGAGACGTGTGGGAGGTCGAGGCCACACACTCTGTGACCTGTAGTAATGATGCTGATGATAATGCTAATAGTACTGGGCATGCCAATGGTAATGCCAATGCTGACGCTAAAGCTAATGGGCCATTGTACTGGAAATGGCCATTCATCCTTGACCTGTGGCAATGCTAATGGCAATGGTGATGGGAATGCCATTCACCCTGTGACCTGTGGGAGCTTGATGCCCTACAGGTAGTACCTCCAAGAACCAGTGAACTAGGAAGACTACTACTCACGAGCAGACAACGAGCGCGTACCAACAACTACGAGGTCTCGTCCTCAACGTCTGAACACCTTCAACATGCAAAGTCTTCAATCAAGCGGTTTCGAGAACACAGGAAGACACACACACTCGTACTAGTATAACGCCCTGTTCTGATGGAAATTGGGGTTCACCTTCTTCAGCAGTTCTTTGCTGAGTTTCCCGCTGCTGCTGATCGTCTCTGAGACATGTGGTGCTTCCTGATCTAAGATGCGGCGCTGCGGCACACAAAGTTGGTATGAGACTCACTCAAACTCAAAACTTTGATTTGCGACGCAGCGACGCGTCCATTTTTTGCGAAAGCGCAAGCACAAAATAATAAGTGTATGTCACTTGTCACAGCTGCCATGCTGGGACTGTCTGGCGGTACAAAAGCATTTAGTTGAAAAGGATCGAGCAAAGGCGCCTTTGCTGCCAGGCAGTGAATGCTCTCCACACTCATAAGATCGCCTTGCACAGCAGCGCTGTCCCCGCCTAGGTGGGGAGCACCCCGACGCGGCCGTTGCTCAAAACAGCAGCAAAGGCCTGGCGAGCGGCTTGGCTTGGATTGCCGTAATGGCAAGGGCCGGGCGCTGCAGGTATCCACCGCCGCAGGCAGCGTCGCCCCAGCAAACAACGGCGCCATCAGCGCGACGGAATTTGCTTGGATCGCCGCCCCAGAAGGGATTGCCGCAGGCCTGCAAAAACTTTGGGCCTGCCTGGGCAAAGGCCTTCTAGGTAGCGGCCAGGACCGGCATTTGCAAAATAAGTGCCAAACTATGTCCATTCCTGACTCCGGCCGCACGCAGTGTGTCCCTGGGCGACAAGAGGCAGGCGTTGGCGTCGACCAGCTGCACAAAGCGGCAGGCGTGGCACTCACGGAGCCAAGCGCACAAGGCCGCGACGGTGCAGTCCGGAGAGGCGGCGTGGATGGAGTGGCGCCCACTAGGCAAGGTAATGTGGATGTAAATCATGCGTTGTGCCGGGGAGCGGGAACGCGCAAGCGACATGTCGGACATGGCCAGGAAATCCGGGACACAAAGAAAGAACAAGCGACGCAATACTACGCACAACGCAGGAGCCGGAAAAAGAGGCGTGCAATGAGGTAAACACTAAACGAAAACAGCTAACGGTAGGGAAAAAGGATGCTATAGACTATAACATGGTGAAGTGTACAGTGCATGCTTCCAATGTCCACATGTCTTTGGGTCCCATAGGGCGCATTTGCCGCGAAAGGCAGTTCACACAGTCTAGGACGAAGCCGGTCGTGAGGACATCGTCTAGCAACTTGTGAACATCAGCGCTGTTGATGCCAGAGCCATCCCTGCTTTGTGGGCGACATGCCACGTGCCTGGAGTGAATTTTGAAGCTTATAGAAGAATCCGGCAGACTCAAGACAATGCAAAGCACCATGCACAGCCTTTGCCATCCCTGACTCGGTCCCATTGTGGATAAGCATGGCTGCTTCAACAATACAAAACGGAGCACCGAAACCGAAACCGATGCAGACCGAAACCGAACCGATCGCAACGGCCGAGCCGAAACGACGAACCAATACAACGAATACAACGCCGCATCGAACCGATACCGAGCCGAGAAAAACATGCAATCCGACCGCCGACACCGAACCGATTGCGCGGCTGCCTCACCAAGACCATTTTGCAACAACCTTGACTAGAAAGGGCAGGTATTTTTGATAATGCACCAACTTCGTGCAGGCAAACTTTGCTGATTGCTTTTCCACACACACACACACACACCCTCCATTATTCAGCCTTCATAATTTTTATACTCCATTTAGACCGTGGATGTTCTTGAGCCTTTTTTCAACCCCTGAGCAAATTCGTTTTCCTGATTGGCTAAATCCTTGGTCACACACTGCAAGTCCGGAACTTCCTTATTTTTATCCATTTTGGTAGGTTCTGGCCACGCCTGAGCTGGAAGTTTGTTTTTCTTGTCAGTCTACGGGACGGAGAGGGTTCTCTAATAGATTTTCACTGTTCGAACCCGGCCCAAAGGAGCAGGTCTTGACTCCTCTACTGAGAGACAAAGAGAGAGAGAGAGAGGGAGCGAAAGAGGGAGAGTCACGAGCGCAGGGCATGGGCAAGTTTATACTGCGTTTAGAGTGCGTTTATACTCCTTTGGCCCTGCCCTTTCCACACTTCAACAATTATGGTTTGAGGTGAGAAGGGGTTGGTCCAGTCTGAACCTATACCTGAATGGGTTCCGCCCTTAGCCTTCTTTAGTGGGCTTCGACGCCTAAACATGGCATAAACCCGGCCTTTGCCAACATTCTCCCTTGGCATCCGCAGTCTTGGGTTGCGACTCAAGTTGCAACCTGTGAGAAAAAATCACCTGGACATGGTTTCCGCCCTTAGCCTTCTTTAGTGGGCTTAGACCTGTTTGCTGGGGAAAGCGCGAAAGCTCTGGTAGTGAGCCGCGAGTTCCTTGAAGGAGAAGTCTATGTGAGGAAGGTATAAGCATGGCCTGAACGTAGTATAATTCACCCGCGCTACCTGGAAGCTGTTATGTCTTATTTTTCCTAGGTCAACCCTGCAATGGTCTTGGTGAGGTGGCCGCCGCCCGATTTGCCCTCGACGCTGCTGCTGGCGCTGCTGGTGCTGCTGGTGTTGCAAGCCGAACCGAACCGATGACCGAACCGAAAAAAAAGGGAAAACAATACTTTCAATAATGCATGTAAATGTATTGAACCGAACATCGAACCGATAGCATGGAATTGAAACGTCAACCGCACCGATGAAAAATTGAACCGAAGCATCCAACCGATAAAAAATGATGCAACGCCAAACCGAACCGAAACCGGATCGTTTCGACCATGATAAGTGTCTTCGGGCTCACTCCCTCACACGAACTTGACATGTAAAATGCACGGCATTGCAAGAATGCATCAGCATGTTTCCACATTAGCTGTTGGGCTCAAAGTCTGAAACTCAGAATCATGTCGTTTCATTATAAATATATAATACATATTTCATATCATTTTACATTATTGAAGGAAAAACTATAGGCACCCCTGTCGTCGAGCAAACTACCCTGAATAGATGGTTGGAACCCGGCATAGATGGTCCTATAAATACAAACACTCTGTCATGTTCGGTGGGAAACTGTATACATCAATGCAATTCTATATAGCACTTTAGTTGATGGAAAAAAAACAGGCACTGGGCTAACTAGTTAGACCAGTTAGGCTTTGAACACTTCTAAGTGCACTAATCAGTTACTAAATTGATCATTCAAAAACATCAAACACATTCAAAAACTGTTGTGATGTAAATTGTTGCTAAATGTTACTAAGTTGAACAACTCACATGGCCTATATGGAAGATTTATAACCAAACGTAGACCCACTTACAACCTGACTTAGCACAGGTTAGTAACTTCACTATTTGGGGTAAGCACTTACTATCCCACGAGATCCTTCAAGTAGCCCAAAACCAGAAGATCCGAAGGGAAAATCCCAACTCCGTGGCCTTTCACTTCGGACCCATCTTTACACCCGTCGATCGAATCGTCTTCTCGCACCGTTGTCCTCCCCCCTCGGAATCGGTCTCCTTCCAACTGCGGGCGGCCGCCCACGCCTGCGAAGACCAATCAAATCGCCACGACATACGGTCCCCTACGACGTAGGCGAGCGTACGCTCGCCCGACCGTGTCGCAGCGCCCGACGGTTCGTCACCGGCGGTCCGCTTTCTTCCGCTCTTTCTCGATGGGTTTTGGAGCGCTGTTCATCGATGAATATCGTTTCGGTTTTTGGTTTCAAGAGGGGTTTTGGACCTCCACGTGCACCTCAAACAGAGACAAGGTCCAACACATGACTTTTGTAGCAAGTCAAAAATCGGCAGAGGCCACGTCATTTGGGGCCATGGCCATATCTACTCTGCGGACGACCTTTGAGAAACGAGGGCTTCTCTGGTCACAGAACCTTCCATCGTTCGCTCGTGCTCCGTGCTCAAACCGGAACGCCCTGCGAGGGCCCGGATGATTCTGTCGAATTGAGGGCCCGGGGAATCACAAAACGGTCAGCTTCTCGGCGAAAAAACGGGGCTTTCGGAAGAGACAAGGACCTTGGTGGTCGCATGTGATCTGCAGTTTGCCTCCCTTTTTCTTCTCGCCTTTTTTTTGACTAGTCATGCTCAGGCCGTGGGGTGAGGAAGACGGCGTGCAGGGCAACTACCCTGGGTGCGAGGTGGCCGATGCAAAGGTCGGCCTGAAAATCGCTCCTAGCCAGCATAGCCTGAGAAATGGAATATCTTGTCCAACATTGATGACCATCGAACCCAGCTTGCATCCATGGGACTCACAATAGCTATTACATACATGTACAATGTACCTCATGGAGAGACCCCAATGTAGGTAACTATTCCAGTCCCATGGATGGTCTGGGGAAAATGTCATCACATCACTTCCTACAATGCACTCGAACTCTCTGAGAGATTTGCCTATCAAAGCAGCTTTGGTCCCTTTCGTCCTGGCTCGTTTCTTAGTGGTTTGCATGCGCCTGGACCTACCTACAATTGGAAAGTAGAAAAAGCCTTGCATGTGTGAAATCGAATCAAAGCTCCAGTCTGGATTCAACCTTGTCATTGACCCGGGCATTCCCAGTTGCCAGTGTGTTGCCGGTTACGAGCTTGAGCAGGCAGCACTTCCACCATAGCAATACCCTTCTGCATGTTGCAAAATCTGCTCGAGAAAATCGGATCTGTCTCCCCTTTTAGGACTCCGCACGCACGCCTGACACGCCGCTCCGGGTCCCCACATGTTCCGCTTCACATGGCCCTGCCTGCAGGGCGTGGCGGAGGAGCGCCAACTGGGAGGCCTCACAGTAGAGTCTCAGCATGCCTCGCAGCTGGGAGCCTTGGCAGTTGCCGGCCAGTCGGACGGCTGGGAGGTACCCCGCACAGAAGGGGGGGCCGGAAGTTTTTTTGGGGGGGTGCCGTTTTTTGGATGATTATTTTGGGCGGTGCGGTGCATCTGTCAAGATGAAACAACTAAGTTTGAGAGATCTTTTAGAGATGCTTCATCAGTGATGTGATGTGTTCGTGGGAGATAACTGGAGTTGTGGTTACCAATGTTCGATCAGTTGTGAGTTGTGACTGGTCCTTCTCAACTTCGTACATTGCGAGAGACTTTCTTGGTGAAACCACTGGCACCAAATCCCACCACCTACTTTCTGCTCACACAAATGTTCCATTTTGAACCTTCAACAGTCCTTCCATGCAACGGTGTTTCTAAACACCAGCTATGAACACCCCTGTGTTTCCACACCCATGTTTCTACACCTCAAATTGCCACCCTAGTTTTCCACCCTCCCAACCTCGACCGCTGCAGTCTGGGCCCACCCAACTGGACAGCTGACCTCGAGCCGCGATCCCAGGGGTGCAAGGGCCCAAAGAAGATCTTTCGACCGGAACATGGCTCAAATAGATTGGTCTAAGTCTGAGTCTAAGAGAGATGTTCCTACAAAGGGACTCGAATTTGTTTCCCCTCCGTGAAATCAGGAAGTGGAAGTGGAAGTCCACGTAACCAAGGTTGGTGGAGGGAGGATACCCTGAAATATTCCGTTCCAGACGATCTGTCAAACACCGGCGTGCCGGCTGGCACGCACAAAAGGCTGGCCTACATGATGTACCTCTAAAGCGAGCAAGATCCTCCTGCAGCTCATGGTGTTCTGACTGTTTATGGAAGAATCTGTAGAGAGTTTTTCCTGATATAAACCCACTCTGGACTGGAATGCACAAGCAAAACATGAACAATCCTGGTTCAAGTTTGATTGTTCTGGACCTCGAGATATGTAATGATTAAACATAGGGTGGATTTCCAGTGCATGTCATCTACTTCTCGGACTGCTAGCAGTTTCTGTTTGCGTCTCCCTACTTTTCCACAAAACCAACCTTCACATCAGTAGTGTCACTTGCATCTTTGCATGCGTTCACCTCCGTCCTCTTTCACCCAGTAACCACTCAAAGCACCGTGGGAAAGCGGCGGCGGCTTGGCTGCTTGAGCCATCCGACACCCTTGATTCAGACTCAGACAGGAAGAACAGTATGCCTAGTATAACCAGCGAAACAAGTGGTCTATGTATTACAAAGCCGTAGGAATTTGGTCTATGACGGTTGTCTTGACGGTTGTCTATTAGCAGTCTATGCCAGCCAGGCTGTTGATCTTCCTTTAAGAAAAAACTGGTCCATGACTACTAGTCCCTGTGTTTTCCTGTTGTGACCCTTCTGCATCGGCTTAACATTTGATCCAGTGGCCGTTGCCCAAGCGCAAGGCCAAGCATCTACCTGTGGTGGAACAGTGCGGCCAGCGAAGGGGCTAGGCCGAGGTCGATTCCAGGTGTCATATACCCACTGGCTGTTTAACGGCTGTTGATTGGGGGATATCCCCTCTATCAATCAACCAAGGAGGAACACGTAGATTTCGATCCATGGAGGCTGGACCGGAGAGATTGCGGCTGGACCGCAAGATGGAAGGAGGTGCAAGTTCCCTATATAGCTTGGGTACATATCTATTATATATATATATATCCCACTATATATACCAGTAACAGCAGGTGATGATGGTTAGGTTGCCCGGCCTTTCTCAAAAATTGTGATGATCCTTCAACTCATACAGGGGCACACCCTGTCTACCATGTCGTGGGTTTGTGGCTTCTGAGACCGACCCAATTCTTGACATGTCTTGACCAAACACTCTGTTCCACCCGGGAAGGGACCCAAATGGAACCTGAAGATGGACCTTTGCAAGCCTATTTTCCTCTACAACCCGACGTGGTTTTCAGGTTCCATATATATATATGGTTCCATGTGAGTCTCCTCCACGAGCGTCAATCCGTTTCTTCGCTCGACCTCGGCCGTTTGTTCGGTGGGAGGGTATGGCGTCGCTGTGGGTCATCGCACCAGACGACCGTGACGACCAGACGACATGGTCAACCTACCAGGGTTGAACCGGGCGTCGAGACAGTGTGCATGACCAGACTGGAGACCTCCTGAACCCCGGCTGGTGGAAAAAGAGGTCTCCCCATGAAGATGTCGAACTTGGAGAACTTGGACAGTTTTTTTCACGAGTTTGATGGAGTTTGGCTTGCAAGCTTCCTGTTCGGTGCCGTGCCGGAAGATTGAGGATATAGCTTGGGCCGTTTTTGCGTGCGTTTTTGCGGCCCATCGAAGTGCATAGCTTAGTGCAACGACAGGTGCAACTTGAACTTCTGCCTTCGATGGAAATGAGAAGGATCACCTGCCCCCCCCCCACCATATTTGTTGATCTTGTGAGCACCCGAAACACTCTGCAATGGTCCTGTCTGCTTTCGTGTTCGTTCTCCCCTAAATTTTCCCCACCTGATCTTGCCTACCTGCCATGGTTCTTGACTAGTTCGAAACCAAAGCAAGGCCCACACGATCGCTGAAATGAAGCACCTGAATGATGCTTCTCTGCAGCGAGGGTCTTTGTCCTCGGCATCTGAACCGATCCACAGCTCTTCAAGACAACTGACTCTATTGATCTATACTGATCTCTAATATGTGTACCTAGCACCCATTTGACCTTTGTTTTGATAGGAAAAGACTATGTTTTGGCTTCAAAACAGGGGTCAATCAGGTTCTAGTATATATATATATATATTTATATATATATAGACCATTGCATTCACCACCATCTGCTACTTTTCCCCTGCCAATCTAGTCAAAGACGCACCACGAGAGTGGACATGTTTTGATGCATGGACTTTTGTTCAGCTCTTTTACCTGCTGAATCCGAATCTTCTTGGTGAATCCGAATGGCACCCGCTTCGAGATCGCCAGTGTTTCACACCTCTGGCCTATCCATCACAGCACCTTTCAGAACCCAAGCCACCCTGCACAGTCCACCCTGCACAGCCCGAGCCATCACACCCAGCAGACCAAGTCCACGTCGTCGACGTCGACCGAGGAAAAAACTTCGACTCGATGCCGACGTTCTCTCCCAAAAAAACAGAGTCTCGACCCTTACTCGCCACCAAGGACAACCTACACTCCAAATGATCATCGTGGAAGTGGATGGGATGGCCCCTGGTTTCAAGATCATATTCCGAATGAACAGGTGGGTTTACACACAACCTTAATGGAAGTGGATGGCATGGGCATGCTCCGACAGGAGGATCATTTTCCAGTTCCACGGGGTGGCCATCCAGTTCCAGGGAAATCCAGGGAGATACTTCGCCTCTCTGATCGTCTGTGCTTCGCTCTCATATCTGACGACGCCAGCACCGAGCTCTCCCCAGTCAGCTCCACACTGCCCACCATGTCAGAGAATAAGAGGTATACATATAGGTATACAGTAGATGGGTCAAAGCCGCTGAAGCCCATAAAGATTGAAACTGTGGGATGCATCATGTGACCGTTGCTAGGAACAAAATCCTTTTGCACTTGGGATATGCATATGTTATGAGATGTTCTAGCTATTTCTAGGTAGGGGGGCATTGCATCTAGTTTCAATATAACATGGTGCAGTGTTTCAATGATCAGCACAAGCTTCCTCTTTTCCCTTAGCCCCACCTTCGAAGAATGCTCTGCATGCATCGAGCATCGGTCGTTCCACTGGCCGCTGCGCGGCCGTCGTTCCACTGGCGGCCTGGGCGGCCTCGTCTGCACCTGCGCCGTGCCACGGGCTCCGATCGCGTCCATCCCACCGGTCGGCCGCTGGGCGAACACCGGGTGCGAGTGGTGCGGGTCGGCGAACAGAAGAGCTCGACCGCGGAGAGTGGTGCATCCGAACACCACCAACACCACTAGGATGAAGGAAGCACAGAGGAGAAAGGCGAAAAGATCTCCAAGCTCCCAGCAATCCGAATCAGAAGCCCGGGAGATTTACTTTGTGAATTGAACAAGTGTTTGTTCCAGCGGTGAGGCTGAATCGATTATTAGATGATGTTAAATGAACAGATGGAATAATCCATGGTCAAGCGAATGGCATGGCCCCCAACAAGACGATGTTCCGAATCAGGCCGTTGTCTACTTTGATATCTTTTGATGATTCTTCCAGGGAGTGCTGCAAAGGTTGGATTTGATCAAAACTCTCAGCCAGCTCTGATTCTGTGTGGCAGTGGTTTAGGGCCGCCCGAATATGTCTCAGGTATCAGGTAGGCAATCGAACATGCACGACCAGTTGCTGAGTGATCCCCAGTGCTGTACTGGTTGATCTGGGGCACTCTATCGCCTTTCACACCCCGCGGCGCCAGAACCCCATGAGAAGCCCAACAGCTCCTGGCCTATCTCCCTTTCGAAGGTGGTAAGGGTGGGTGCCAACCTTTTAAGGATATGGTTGGAGAACCCCAAGTTTCAGGGGAGCACCCCAACATCAAGGTCTTATTCTGGCGTTATTAGTCACGCCAAAAGGTCCCCCAAGTGGCTCGGTCTCAAGAAGAACACCCGTCTCAACGGTGGTACCCATCGGATCCGCCGTGTTCGGCGTTGCGCGACCGTTTTCGGCGGCTTCGGCGGTTTCTTGATCCCACCGGACGGTCTTTGCCGAATGCTCTTCGGAACGTCCGTGGGTTCGACGCGTCACGTCGCATACGACGCGACGACCGCAGGATCACGCTACTGTGCTTCTTCAGTGGCAGGTTCACCGGAGGTTGGGCATCCGGATGTTGGGGAAGTCTAAATGAACTATCAAAAACTAACTATGATGGGAGCTTCAATATAGGAACTCTAGATGATCTCTGTTTATGATTGTTTGTGGGAACTCTGCTTTTTGTGTCCAATCCATCTGTCATGACCTCTGCATTTCAGGCTTCGCTCTGCTGTCGGCTTCAGCCTTGGATCTCCACTTCTTGGGCGTCTCGAAGCCTCCTTTCATCTTCCAATAAGCGATTGCGTCGGACATAGAAGGCTGCCAGAACAATTGCCACCACAATCAGACCTGTAAAACAAACAGCTTTCGGAGGCGTTTCAAGCAAAATCAAGGGCAGGAGGTTTTCTTCAATGACAGTTCTTTTGTCAAAATGCTGCCGCTAATTTGACTTAGCACTCACTACCTCGCGAACAGCAACTCTGTACATAGCTCCTTGCCAGCTTCCAGTTGACAGGGGATATATGGCAGTGGGTCAAAACCCGGATTGTGAAGCCCCATCCGTGCTGGATGATGTACGCTTTCTATGTATGCTGAACAGTGTTGCATGGAATCAGTACGTTGATAAGTACTCCATCAGAGTTCGACTCTATGGAATCCCATATGTAAAGGCCAAGAGACTCGGAAGCCAAGCTGTAGCATTTAAGCTATTTTTGGCAGTGCTTTCGATGGTTTTTAGAAGAGCTGATCAATTTCAATCAGCTTGGGAATGGACGGATCATCCAATGTATATCACAGATCCACAAGTCCATCAACCGAAGACCCGACACCAGAAACCAGGTCAATCGGGTATGCACTTCGTTACTTTGGCTCAAGGCTCAAGTGGAAAAAGAGCGCGAGCGAGTACAGTTGCTCTTCATGGTAGCGGAGCTATGGCATCTTCTACCGATCCTGGAGCAGATCCTTCTATGCCTTCTGGTGAACCTGGGACGGCAGTGAGGGAGGATCAAATCCATGATCTGGAACAGAGGATCCAAGGCCTAGCTGAAGCCTATGGTTCGTTGGTACCTGCCGTAGAAGCTTTGACTAACAAGTTGAAGGTAAATGAATTGCCATCACAAGGTAGTCCTAGCTATGGGCCGGTGCAGTCACCACCAGCACCAATGGTTCCAACACCTAGTGGTTTAGATATGCCTGGACCAGCAATGTTCGCCCCAATGCCAGAAAGCGGAACATTTGCTTCGTTTGATCCTTTGCAACAGAATGATCCATGGCAGAATGCCCAAAAGAGCTTCTTCTCCCGAAAGGAATCCTTTTGCTAGTGCAAGTTCGAGCAACGCTCACATTCCTCCACCAGGGTTGCAGCAGTCACCACGAGCAATGCAGTCGAAATCCGTTTCGACGTTCTGAGAAGTGGATGCCTGCTTATCCAGTTCCACCACATGACAAGTGGACCACCCGACCGGAGGAAGTAGAAGGGTTCATTAGCTACATACAAGACCTTGCATCTTGGGCCGGATTAGGAGACAATGAATGGCCGAGAGAAATTCTTTGGTCACTTCGTAGCCCAACAGTCATTACATGGAAGCAGATGACCGCAGCTCAGATTACCAGATCCACTCGTTTGCTTTCAATCTTGAAACAGTGCTTTTCAGGACATGCTAGAGCAAATTTGATTTTGGGAAACTATGAGTCATCACAAAACCGTGTGAACTGTTGTGGATTCGAAGGTGTTCGTTTGCTGTCACGAGAGTTTGGCATCAAGACCCGAACAGAGCTTTTGTTCTTTAGGAACCGAATCACCAGTGGGGTTTTCAGGTGTGCCACCATCCCTGAGACCGTTCGACAGATCCAACATGAGCTTTTCAAGTTTGCCCGCATTCAGCGATTGGTTGATCCTAGCGTGAACAATGCACAGCTGGACATCATGGAGCCCGATCAGATTTTGATTCTTCTTCGTTCGTTGCCTGACGCTTGTCGACAATGGCTTGTTCTCAATGTCGTGCAAGAGTCATTCCAAGCCTACACAGAGGCAGCACTCAGGTACGAGGCACAGCAGAGAGCCTGGTCAGAGTTGAATCACAAGCCAATTGCACAATGGAAAGACAAAGGAAAGGGCAAAGGTGGAAAAGGGAGTGAGGACGAGAAGAACCAGGGAAAAGGTAAAGGTGAAGACAAACAACAGGATAGCCCAAACAAGGATGCCAAGGGTTGTTTCAAGTGTGGTAGCACCAAGCATTTTGCACGAGATTGTCCACACAAAAATGAACAATACTACCAGAGCAAGGACAAGAAAGGTTCGGGTAAGAGCCAAGCAAAGGGTAAGACTAGCAGCAAGGGCAGCAAAGGCAAAGAGACCAAGGGCAAGGATAGCAAAGGTAAAGGAAAAGGAAAATCCAAGAGTAAAAAAGGACAACGAGCAGCAGAGTTCTCTGAGTCATCAGACTATTGGTCAGACTATGATGAAGGCTGGAATGAGAGCTGGGAAGATGATGATCAATGGTCAGAGATCAGTGACGGAGGACGCCTTGCTTCGTTTGTTGGGGTCGTGACCTACCACGAACAGAACGCAGAGCACAAGCAATGTTCGCCAGAGACTTCGGAAAAGCAGAAGTGTGAAAGAGTTGATGCGGATCGTGTGAATGCCACATCGCTGGTTCGATGGTTGACATGTGCATTGGTATTCGCAGTTCTCAACATGACATGTTTGGTATTGAGTGTTTGTATTCATCAACCACTGATCTACCGATCACAGAATTGCAATTTCGAACACACAGTTTGCTTCGTTTCATTCGAGGGTTCGTTGCAGTGCACAGGGATTGAAACCAGTGACGGTTATTCGACCTTGAGGGAATTCATGAAAGGTTTCCATTCAACAGATCCAGGTCGAGCAATGAAGCCAGAACCCCTTGTGCAGTTCAAAGCCAATAGAACCCCGAGAAGAGATGTAACATCGCTCAGCCCAATTCAGGTTGCAGATCAGCAGCACAACAACAACCAACAGAACATTCGGATCCGAGCTGGACGAGTACCAGTAGGGTCGAAGCAACTTGTGGGGCAGGGAGTGTGTTCGTTACAGGAAAGAAGTCAAGAAGTCTTTGGGAGCATGAATTGTAGCGCTAATCAGACTAGACCTGATTCTTTTGGTACAGAGTGCAATGAGTTCGATGACGAAATAGTAGGGCCACAAGAACTTGGGTTTAGAGGCATGCAGCACATTGTGTTTAAGCAAAAACGGTCACAGTCACAAGAACGTTGGTTAGCTGTACATGAAGTCTTTGCTCAACAAGTCGTGTACCATGATTGCTTCTAATTGGATGTTTCATGGTTGATGCAGTGGTTTGTCAAGTGTATCAATTTTGGTCTTGTGGAACCACAACGTCAGCTATTCGATGTGTGTCCGAAAGCAAGTACAATAGGAGAATCATGTTTGTGTGCCGAGCTATATCGCATGTACACAAGGCAATGCTGTCGTGCTCACGACACAGCATGGTCGAAACATGGTAACATAAGTGCCTGCTTGCCATGTGTAGCATGCCGTAAAAGCAAAAGACACGGATGCCGGATTCGGAATAGGTTGGAAGTCAGATCGATGCAAGTGGATGAAGAGCGTGAGCGAGTACAGATGCTCTTCATGCCACAAGGTTCATTTCGGTCGTGTCATGCTACCCGATCTAAGGAGAATGGATTCTTTGGATCTCCTCAAGATATCCGAGGATTCGTGCCTGCCAGCATCAGACGCCCCATCTCCAAGTCACTCTTGCCACGTCAATGGCATGAGCTGGAATGGACGGATCATCCTGTGTATATCACAAGATCCACAGATCCATTTACCAGAAGACCGACACCAGAAACCAGAGGTCGATCGGGTATGCAGAGAGTAGGATCCCACCAAGCTACCCAGCTTGCCCTCTCCGTATGTAATCTCCCGAGATCCCTGGATGCGAAGCTCCATCCGTGCTTGATGTACGCTTCGGTGTATGCTGAAGAGTGTTGCAGGGAATCAGTACAGCATAAGTATTCTGCCAGAGCTGAGCTCGATGGAATCTCCATATGTAAAGGCCAGAGAACCAAAGGCCGA